TTAGTGGTGGGGTAAAAATTTATATTCTTAATTTTAGGTTTTTTTCTATCTAAATACAGTCATTTGGTATTGAGCTAGTATATGTGTGTATGTGTGTACACACAGGCATGTGCATATTAAGAAAAGGGACAGATTCTATTTGAGTTCCGAAGAAGATCAAGGTCCTTTAGACACTTTTTCCCCCAAATGAGTAAATTATGTTCATGTCAAATTATATAAAAGCATATATGATTTCATAACCCTTTGTGTGTGTGTGTGTGTGTGTGTGTGTGTGTGTATGTTTGTATGTATGCAGGTGCATGTGCCCGTACTGTGGAGGCCAGACATTAACCCTGGCTGTAGCTTCTTAGTGTTATCCACTTTGTCTTTTGGTTTGGTTTGGTCTGAGACAGGATCTCTCATTGGTCTGGAACTTGATGATTAGGGTTGGCAGGCTGGCTGGCAAGCTTCAGGAATCCTCTCCTCCCTCCCTCCCTCCCTCTCTCTCTGTCTCTCTCTCTGTCTCTCTGTCCCTCCCCCCTCTCTGTCTCTCCCTCCCTCTCTCTCTCTCTGTCTCTCCCTCCCTCTCTCTGTCTCCCTCCCTCCTTCCCTCCCTCCCTCTCTCTGTCTCTCTGTCCCTCCCTCCCCCCCCCCCCCTCTGTCACCCCCCCCCAGCCCTGGAATTCCAGGCGCTCACGACCATGCCCAGGTTTGTTGTTTGTTTTCTAACATGAGAACTGGAGATTGAACTCAGGTCCTAATGCTTGCACGGCAGGCGTTTTACCAACCGAGCCATCTCCTCAGCATTCACAGCCCTTCCTGTTAGAGCAAGGGAGGACAGTTTGTAGTTATCTCCTTACAGAAGGACTGAGTGTTTCTGAACTTTTGTCTCTAATGGACAAGAGAGTTCAATGGCACTGGAGCTTTTGTCAAATGATCACAAAGGTGTCCTTCTAGTTCCTAAAATCTAAGAACTTCTGAAATGAATCAGTCAAAAGACAGAAAAGCTGCTGTTGGGAGGGACCTGACCCTGAAAGACAGTTCCTTAAAGGGTTTTGGCTTTTAGCTCCTTATTTTCCACTCCTTTTGAAGAAGCATGTTCCCTTTTAAAAATCCAAGACGAGAAGGGACTTCTTTTGAGCCAGTGGCTTGGTTCTCGTGGCCTCCCACTGACATCCTGGCTACCAGCTATGAACTAAAGTTGTTATTTATGAATGCAGCAGAACCTCTGAAGAATCAGCTTGGTCTGCTTGCTCTACCTACATTAGAGGAAAGAGAATCACTGGACATGGGAGCATACACCATGGACTCCAAAGGCCAGATGGTCTCAAGTTTTAGTTTACTTTACCCTAAGCTACCCAGTGAATTCCAAACCAGATTTATGTGGGCTAGAGTGTAAGAGTATCTTCCTGCTATCTCCAAACCCAGGCAAAAACTCAAGTAGGTCGGATTCCTTTTGCAGATCACTGTAGTCTTTTGTAGATCTCTGTAGTCATTCAGATTCTTACTAGTCATACCCAACCTTCTTGACCCTACAGTTAGCCACACCTGCCTGACCTCTCATCAAAACACCCGTCTCCATGAGTGGCTGTCGTGCACCATCCCCTCCAGTGGGATGAACTATTCTGTGAAGAACCTAGCTGACACCACCTCACGGCCAACAGCGCCACACCCTCTTAGGGGCACATTAGATCGTCCTTCATATTAAAACACAGCCATAGAATGTGCAGAGAAGACAACTGTCCCTATCCCCCTCTTGTTATTTTGGTGACCTTGAACTCACGGTGATCCTCTTCCTCTCTACCGTGAGCAAGGGGACGACAGGCCTAAGCCACCACACTTGGCCAATGATTTTTAATGTAGACATTATAATGATTGATCTGGGTGTGGTGATATACACTCAGAATACTACCAATCAGGAGACCAAGACAAGAAGATGTAGAGTAAGAGGCCAGCTTGGACTATATATTGATACTCAGTCCCATACAAAGATTACAATCACTGTCTTAGAATGTTCTGTTGTATCTATCTATCTATCTATCTATCTATCTATCTATCTATCTATACACACACATATATATATATACACACACACACATACGCACACACATATATACACACACACTAACAAAGCTGGTTATTAAAGTGACTTCTAGGGACTGATAAAAGTTTAGATGATATAAAAGTAAAATATCAAAGTTTATGATTTACATTTGAGGCCATGGGAAAGATATTTTGGAAAGGAAGAACTGTAGACTAGGCTGGCCTGCTTTGCCTGGGTCTGACTCTGGAGGGCACCTCCTTAAGTAGGTCTGGTTCAGTTTCATTATCTTTCACCTTTTGAAGCAAGTCCTCTAAAAAGGTAAGGCTAAAAGCAACCACCACTCCTAGGGGAGCTCCCAAGGGAGCGTCTAATGGGAAGCCCTGGGTGTACAGCGCGCATTGAGACTGCCTAAGAAACCTCAGGACGTTCATTTCTTAACTGCTGATCCACAAGCATTAGTTCTTATAATGTGAAAGTGTATTCGTAAGAAGCCTAACTTACCGCTTTGATGCTTTGTTTCAAAATTTAGGACTGTTTGGATAGATTCGATGATTTACATATGCCTTCAGTCAAACATCCTAAAATCTTAAAATCAAGAGCCAGGCTTTTAGGCAAGAGTCCAGACGATCCCCACAACCAGGCAAAGCACTGTGCGCGACCCTACACGGCTCCGGAGCAGAACAAACGCAGAGAAAGTGTCGCCGGGAAATTCGCAAGTACTCGGATGGATTCAGCGGGCTTAGTTCATATACACGATACCACCCCAGAGTACGAGATACGTAAACTACGGTCCAAAAGAAAATTAAAAGAGAATATTGAAAAACGTCCGCTCATTTGTGATATTATCCAGATGCTAGGTACTATAGGATGATATGTGAGGCCACCAGTCAGAATATAATTCCTGCACTCACAAAATGGTTTGGAGATCTATCCCCCACGTGTGATAGAAGTCGGCAACTAAGTTTCATCTTGTGAGACCATTTTGTTACCATTAAAATGAATAAACACATTCAATGTAAGCGTGTTTTTGTTTATAGACCTCTCCAGGACAAACTAAAAAAAATGCATATCCGGTCGGTGGTGTTCATTGGCAAAGGTTTGCTCCGTAGCTTGTCCCTTTGGGGGGTTGAATGAGTCTTTAACACACACACACACACACCGCGTTTGTGGTACTTAGTAATCCCTACCTAAGCGTTCCAGCTCCCCATTCGCAGCTGTCGGCGCTTAGCAACTAAACTTTACTTAGCTCTCGTTAAATTTCCAGCTTTAACAGTCGAAAAGAATGCAGGGACTCATTTTATTGTGCGATAGGTCCAGGCTGAGAAGCCAAAAGGAAGAGTGAGGAAAGCCCAGAGCTAGCAAAAACAAGATGTGCTTCCACCACGCGGAGAGGAAGCTCTGTTGCCGATCTTAAAGAGACCAGAAAGAACCAGCCGCTGCCAATAGGATCAGGAGTGAGGTCAACTGTGAGAACTGCTCACACCCCATCCCACTAAAAACAACAGAGTTTAGCTGTTTCTGCCCTAGATGCGAAAGAAACAAGGTATATGGATGTTTCTGCCCGAGATTCTAAAGGTTCACGGTATACGTGAGTATCAGTTTCAGTGAGGCAGAGGAGAGCGCAGAAGCGAATTGGGGGGTAGATGGCCATCGAGCAATGGTAAAGAGGAACCACGGGTCTGACTTTAGTAAAGGTACATTTCCCAGAAGGAAATCTCAGATTCCTGCGCCTCACTAAAATTTTATGACGGTATTGTCACTTGCGGGCAGTGCTTCTAACACATTTCACCATGGAAATCCCTGAAGTTTTCCACACAACAAAAATTCTGACATTCCCCCCAAGAGCAAGCTCCTCCAGTCTGACTCTAAGCTGGGGTTCAGCTTTCCACAGCCTCTGAACTCACTCGACGCCGTCCTGTCTGAGACCTTAAGCTCCTGCGCAGATCCTTGTCAGCCTCCACCATTTTTGTGAGCCAGTTCTTTAAATGTTGACATATGTGTGGATATTGCAGGTTTTCTATGCACATACAAACATGTACACATTCTAATTCCCAGTATTCCGACAGTAGAAGCTGACAGGCAAGGTTTCACGACAACCCCGCCCACTGTTGGCAGGTTACACACGCAGGACCCTCCCAGAGGGGGCGATGCTAAGACGTTAAGCAAGATGAACTACAGCTCCCATCATGCTCCTGTGCGTTGCCTGCTCCACTTCGCATCGCAGCAGGTCTTGGCGGATGTACAGAGCATCCCTAACATTCATTCTTGAGGCAAGGGTATAGCCAACAAACGCAAACAGAAATGCTTCAAACTGCCTGCCTATTTAGTCGTAATCATTTTACAGACACCTCCAAAATAATATACTCATGTCACTTACTATGTATATAGTCATAAAAATTTAAAAAAACAATGGACATAGACCCCAATTTATTACAACCGTTTTTGAGACAGCGTGCTATTTGGAATGAAAATGTGCTCCACAGGCTCACGTGTCTGAACAGTCAGCTGGGGTCGGTGATGCTGTTGGGAGGTTAATGAACTTTTAGAACTCTGAACCTCGCTGAAGGAAGAACGTGACGGGGGGGGGGGCGCTCTCAGAGTTTACACACTTGCCCCACTTCCAGGTCACTCTCTTCCTGTATGTGGAGCTGAAATGCGATCTCTTTCCGCTCCTGCTGCCTGCATGCCTGTCACGATGGACAGCTAGCCCTCTGCAGCTCTTCCTTACGCCGCTTCTGATCAAGGAATTCTACCGCAGCAGCAGGAGAGTGATTGACACACAACAACTCCGGGTAACGAGGCCAGGCCACAAACAGCTGCAGTTTACAGGAATAATCATGAAAGACCAGGACGCCCTCTGTCTCTATATCTCCTCAAGATCGCCTACACTTTATTAGGTTATATAACTCAAGTTTGGAAAAAAAGATGACTTCTTGTTCTAGCTTTGTTAAGTCACACAGAATATATAAAAGATGCATTCGGTTTAATAAATCTTTATTGGGCTCCCACAGGGTGCATGAATTGGGGATCTATAATTTACGCAGGTAGAAAAGTGGCACGTTAGCCCCCCATTTAAAACGCAGACGGCGTCTTCTCTTCATGTTTCACGTGGATTATTTAATGGGAGCCAGGCTCAGTTTGATGTCACCATATGTAACAGGGACAGCACAAATAGTTTCCCTTCTCCAAAAAAAAAAAAAAAAAAAGGCTAGAGCGTCTGAAGAAAAGATGCTCTTGGAAGCGCCGTCCTTGGAGGAAGGGCTCATTCCAGAGGACAGCAAAATGTAGAAAAAAACTAGCTGGCTCAAAAATCACACTGAGATCCAGAAAGTTCCAGTCACAGCTTAGAGAGAGGAAGGAACGGATGACACTGAGTGCAGCTGGTTATGATTCTGACGTTGCCAGCGTGAAGGACCGCGAAGGTGCTCCAATCTGAGCAGAGGTGATGCGCATGCGCGTGAACAGAGCGGGCGCCTCTCCAGTGCACCAACGGTATTTTCAAGTATAGATCTGGCATTGTCCCCCAACAAGACAGGAGAGAAGCAGCAAGGAGCAGCTGTCAAGTATAGAGGACGTGAGGTGGCGACCCTAGAATTCCCAGTCTGGGTCTCTGTCGTCGGGAAACTCACACTCCAGCTCACTCCACGGTGACGCTGGCGGCAGCGCCAACGAGGGCCTGTTGTAAGCAGGAGGCAGCAGCGAGAGGATGGAATCCTGGCTTTCTTCTTTCATCTGTTAAAATTAATCAAAATTTAATCAAAAATTAAACTACTAAAATGTTTTCTTGCTTTAATTCTATTTTATAGGAACGTTATTAGCAAAACTCTATAAAGTCGACAAAAAACGGCTTTTAAAAAAATAATTTTTTAAAATATTTAAGACCATGGACAATAGATCAGCTCACCTGCTTGAAGAATACATGGGACAACAAACTGCTTGCTGATGGCCTGAAATTTTTGAAAGAGTTATTAGAAAATAAAACCTAATATTAGAACGTAGATTTTTCATGTATATACTAACATTAGAAATGAGGCTTCGAACTGACAAACTCAATGTTAAAAAGTAAGACAGAAAAGGACATTGATTAGCAGTAATTCTTAGCAACAGCCTTGACTGACAGGAGAAATAATTCTGGATATACCTTTACATTAACCCATACTCAACTTTTACTGTATGCAAACTATTTGTAAGGAATCTGCCAGGATGAAGGTTCTAGAAAAGGTAAGAATCCACATCTTCTTTCTAAAATGCTAACGGTAGCGTACCAGCATTTACAAGCCTATGTATAACAGTGCATTTGCAACAGTGCCTTACACGGACACGCTAAGAACCGCTGATTGAAGGCGGCGTGACTGGGTACAGTGTGGCTACAAACAAAGCCCAATGCCTGTGATTTTGAACTCCGCCCATGTTCCTCATCCTTGCTTCTCACTGACCTGTTCTTAGCACTGATAGTCTCGAGGTAAAGTTTTTGATGAAAAGATGTGACTTCTATGGGAAGGCTACATCACAAAACTACTCTCGGATATATTGCACATGTTTTGTGCTGTTTATAGATGTCCAAGGTTACCTTTTCTCGGGGTCTTGCTGTAAGCACAGCTGCACCAGGCTAAAGAAGGCCGGAGAGAATGTTTTCGTGGCTGGCGTGTGGAGCCGGTCACTGTTGACCGTGTGAGTTCCGGTGGAGACCAGCACGCTCTCTCCAATCCCGGAGTCGACCCCTGACTGGGAATTTCTCATTCTGGAGTCAGACTGCGGAAAGCCCCTGATGTCCAGCGGGCTATACGGAGGGCCTTTCAGTTTCTGTAGCAGCATCTGGGAGGAAGGGAAACACTCTTGAATGCTTTCTAGGGGAAAGAAACATTTAGATAGAAATGACAGTCAGTCTCTAGAGTCTACAACGAACGTGTTCGACGGAAGTCATCTAGACCCAAGGAAGCCACCAAAGCCAAGTTCGGGGAGTTCCATTACCTGAGTCCTGTGCATGTCCTGGAAAGGTACCTGCCCACTGGCTAATTCACACGCTGTGATCCCAACACTGTAAATATCTGACTTCACGTTATATCCATGTAAATCCTGTGAACACAATACAAAGGTCTTACCACAAATAAGAGCGGCGTACGGGTGTTCTCTTGACAAAGGATTGTGACAATGGAGGAGCCCTCCCCAGCACAAAACCAAGGTCTGCCTAACAGATGCCCTCACAATTTAAAATACCTAACACAGTCTCGAAAAGAGAAAAGGTCTTGTGGCAGCCGTTCGCCAAAAAACAAGGACACAGCTGTCCCCTAGTCAAACTCAAAGACACGTGAGACGCACAGACAACCCGATGCCACAGCCACACCTGACCTGTCTCAGTAGCTCTGGACTCAGCCACGGCTGCACTGACGTGCTGAACTGTGGGAAATCAAACACAGCCCTATGCCTCTGTCCGTGCTTAACCAAACTATGCAGATGGGACAGGCCAGAGAGGGTCACCAGGCCATCACCAGAAATGAGGATATGGCTGGCTTTAAAACTCCTAGAACAAAAAGAAACAATCCTAAGTACTAGGAAGCTGGCCCACGCAAAGTGAACAAAAGTCTGGCGAGAACACATCCCTACATTCCCTCGGGAAGCAAACACCCTGGATAAAATGGCACTGGACAGTGTACATATAAAATATACGACATTTCCAAGAAGTCAAGGAACTCCCTAAGGTACATACACAGTACGGCAACAAGCTTGGAATCGGTAGACTTCTTTAAGAAATGAAGTTGAATTACGAATTTTGCTATTTTAGGGTGCAGTGGAGCATACCATTATTATTTAGGGTTAACTGAAATACAAGAGAAGCGTCTATGGGATAGCATCATTTTTAGATATACGTCACAGTAAAGTTCCTTCAACTGTCTAGAGTCCACGCAAGAGCCTTACTTTTCCATCTAAAGCGCTAACTTTGGACACTAACAACGGCACACCCGATAATCTGGTGAGGTGAAGCAAATCTCAATTTGAATCCAGTCTGTTTGGAATCCTCAGCCAGAACGCCACTGAGAAACAAGCGGCAGAGCACCCAACTTCGCGGAGATGGAAACACTACGGCGAGCACGTCGACCCAAAATTAGTCTACGCTGAGAAACGGGTCCAGGAGGGCACAGGGGAATTGGTGTTTGGTACCTGCTCTTCAGGCCTGAGACCAGTCAGATGGGGGGAAGGGCTGTTATAACTCACAGAAACGTGACATTAGCTGGAAAGCAGGGAAAGTTCTTTGTTTCCCCCAAAAGAAACAACAAAATCCAGCTCATAATTTGGGCGTGTGCGTTTTCGGCACCCTCGCCTCCCACTAAGACAAGCATGCTACCGCAGTGTGAACAGGCCTGAGTTGGGCACCAGGGTTACCAGTTGGTCCCTCCATGGACTTCCATTTTCCTAACACTTAGCTGCTTTTTACTGGCTCTCCCTGATGACCTCAGGCTCAGGCGTGGACATGAAGCAGCCAGTACCTGTGGATACAGCCGCTCTGGTGCAGGTAGCTCAGCCCCCGCACTGCTCCAAAGAGAATGTTCCGTATCAAGGCCTCGCTCATCCCTTCCGGGAAGTAGGTCTTCAGGAGCTGACTTGCCGAGCCTGGAAGAAAGCCCTGACATTCAGATGGAAGCTGGGAATGTTCTAGATAACGCTTTTCAATCATGGGGAGACAAGCACACGTCTGCTGCCTTCCGAGTCCAGACTTTTTCCCGGGCAAACAGCTTTCCTTCATGAATCAACATCACCACCGCCACAGTGTGGTCTGTGGCTTGGATCTAGGACTTCGAGTGCATGCCGGGCAAACATACCGCTACCGTTCTACCTCCCCAGCACTCTATAGATTTTTAGGTTTCTAAGGTAGGATCTCATTTAAGCTGCTGAGGCTGGCCTTCAAATACTCTGCAGTTCAGGGTAGGCCTTGACTTGAGATCCTCCTGTCTCAGTTCCCCAGTAGCTTATAATTCTGTGCCACCAAATCTGGCTTGAAATATTTAATCTTACTTTTTAATCCCACTCCCCCTTGCTCCTTCCAGTTTTTTTGTTTGTTTGTATGTGTGTGTGTGTTTATTTGTTTTTGGAGGAGAGGCTGGGAACATAACTCAGAGGTAGAGCATTTGCCTACCCTGCTCAAGGCCCTGGGTTTCAACCAACCATAGTCTCTCCCACACGCACCCCACGCACACACCCCCTATGTGCGCGCAACCCCCCATACTTTTAGTGACTTTTTGAAAGGTAAGAGAACATTTTCAGTATTGCTGAATAAAAATGTGTACTGTATGTCGTATTTTAAACCTAGAAGTAATTCACAAGCGCTGTTCTAGTGACCAAAGCTCTGGAATCCATTTCCTCACTAGTTCAGCACACTTATTGAACAAGGTGTCATCTGAGCACCTCGGGAAATTAAAACAGGAAGCATAAAAGATTACCTCCCCCAAGAAGCACAAGTGAGAGAGCCCACCACACATGGATGTCTACAGTACAGTGACGTCATGAATGTTCACGGCACAGTGATGTCATGGATGTTCATGGTACAGTGACATCATGGATGTCTACGGTACAGTGACATCATGGGTATTCACAGTACAGTGACATCATGGAGGTCAACGGTACAGTGACATCATGAATGTCTATGGTACAGTGACGTGATGGGTGTTCACTTTACAGTGACATCATGGATGTTCGCGGTACAGTGACGTCATGGATGTTTGCAGTTCAGTGACGTCATGGATGTCCACGGTACAGTGAAGAACAAACAAGGATAAGGTGGAAATTACTTCTACTGGCAAAACAAGAGCTCTTCTCTACTAAGAGAGGAGAGAACACTGAAGGAGGGGCAGTGTGTGCCAAGGCGTGGGACTTAGAGTCAGTGGTGGTTTCGTGGATCACCACACCCGTTCTATTTTAAAACTAAAAAACACGAATATTTTATATATCATGAACTTACATTATAAAATCTAGAGTTAGTCACTAAATTTATAAATTAAAAGCAGTAGACAGATACAAGACACCACTTGTGTTTACAGTGATAGCATCCAGGCTAAACAATCAACTGTTTTATTTAACACCATCTCCTTACCATAGGCCATAAATGGAGAAACCACCCAAAGCCAGCTGCCCATGGTGAACACTGTCCAGTACGTCGTGACGTTGGGGTGTTGGAAAAAGTGAGACAGAACCACGGCTCTCTAGGATAAACAACAGGAGAGAAGACATTTCAGAGTCACCTTTCTTCACAGTAGCGGTGATTGGAACACATCCAGAGGGCAGGGCGGCCTTTGCTTCTAAATTCCACGGCTGTTCCAAAAAATATGTAACACTGATTTGTGCTTTATTTTTTTAAATGTTTATTTATTTATTATGTATACATTATTCTGTGTGTATGCCTGCAGGCCAGAAGAGGGCGCCAGATTTCATTACAGATGGTTGTGAGCCACCACGTGGTTGCCAGGAATTGAACTCAGGACCTTGGGAAGAGCAGGCAGTGCTCTTAACCGCTGAGCCATCTCTCCGGCCCCCTGATTTGTGCTTTATAAGGTGCTTTTAAAACATTAGAAAACCTGTCCAGAACACACCGTGAAAGAGGAATGTGAACTTAGTCTGCCCCCAAAGGGAATATATCTAAAGACTTACATTTTTGTTGTAGAAATGTTTAAAACACAGAAACGAGGATGGGGGAAGTCACTGCTAACACCACACCATGGAGAGAATCACTGCAAATATCTAGTGTAGCTTCTCCTGTCCTTTTCTTCCTACAGTTTGTTTCTATGTATGTATGTATGTATGTGTGTCTACCTATCTACATATATAAGGGTTTTCACATTTATTTACTGATTGATTGATTGATTGCGGAAAGGCATGCACATAACACAGTCCACAGTTGGAGGCCAGAGGACATCCTGCAGGTCAGTCTTTCTATCCACCACGTGAGCTCCAAAGATCAAACGCAGGTCATGAGGTTTGGGATAGGCAGCCTTACCTGGTAAGGCATCTCCTCATCACCATTTCCATATTTTAAAAACTGAGATGACAGCAAAAGAAAAAATTCCCCCCTTTGCATGAAAAACTATTAGGAAACAAGAAAATAATTTTATATGCTGCAATGTGATTCTATTAAAATTTATCAATTCTGAGGTTGATTTTGCTTGACTGATAGAAGACAAACTCCCATGTCTTCCTGTCTCTCTATTTTATGGTACGGCCATTTGTCTAGACTGGCTGAGGGTGCTGTCGGCCTCCCGCGTAGCACCAACATATGCCATTCCCTTGAAGGAATTCACAGTATCTACCAAAGTTTGAATATATTTGATCTATCAGGTAATGCATCTCGCTTCCATGTATTCTACCCAATCTGGTCACTGCACGATCTTATTAAATCTACTTTCTCTAAGGAACTATCAGTCGGGTGATAACATTTCTTACAGACGCAGTCTCCAGCACTTCCCGCCCTCACACCGTCACCTGTAAAGCTCTCAGTCGCTCTTCGGTGCAGTTCTCCAGGTTGGTGATTTTTACGGTGACCAGCGTTCCCGTAGGAGTGTGTCGTGCGAGGTGAACGGAGGTCAGGTTGTCAAATCCTCTTCCTGGAATCAGACACAAAGCCCATGGTAGCAATCAAAGTAGAAAAAAAGTCAATGCTGTGTACTTCAGCAAAATCTAAAACCCTCTGCTCTTCGAAATACACGAGGCAAACGAAAAGGCTTGAACATTCTCAGCACCATAGTGACAGCCTAGAACTTAAACACCAGACTCACCAACATGATAGCCCGGGCCATTCCCAGCTACCCTGCAAGCTCAGAAAGTGGGACCCGTGGGACCCTCCATCTCTGGGCAGCACAGTCTGGCTGTCAGCAGTCTTCCATGGTTAAAGCACAGGCTTCGACCCCCATGGCTCAAACTGCCTACTGATATCGTGATCCAGACATGACCCTTACTTCAACACACTGTGCCCCTCGACTTTTTAAAATGATATTTTTATTAATTCTTTGAGGATTTCAGAAGAGTATCTTGGTCATATTTAGCCCCCCTTCCAACTCCTCCTATGTCAAAATTAAACATTCTTTTCCTTCTATCATTGTTACCTTCCCGTCCGGTCAACTTGAGTTCCCTCCTTGATTTTCTAGTCACCCGTCTTAAGGAAATGTCTTTGGAAAAACTAAAAGAGTTATGGAACTTATTGGATGGGTTTTGCACAAAGGGTCGCATGCCATATGTTCGCGAGTCTCATATTTTCCTTCTACTGGCTCGGAGGGGCTCAGATTCCATGTCTTAAAGAAGGTTATAGAGCAGGCAATGGGAAGGCACTCTAGGAGCTTTGGGGAAGACATTTCACAGACACACACAGTAAGGTCAGGCATCACAATGCCCGACAAACCTGGACGAAGGTCGGGATGTCAGTAAGAATTTCGGGCTCTAGTCACTTGTTCTGTGTTCACTTCTATCATTATTAAAATTTTACTTGGGAACTGAAATGCTCTTACCAGGAAGCAGTGTATGTGTATGTAAGAAATATACATATGTAAAAACAATATATTTTTTAAATGAATATATAAAACAAGTGAATATATTTTGTAAAACACAAAGATAAAAATGAAGAAAATGGTAAGTCATTGAAAATATTAGCAATGTCTATATCTGATAAGATTTTCATTCAGAAAATATAAAGAACTCTCATAGTTCTATAAGACAGTACACAATACAGTAAAAAAATAGATGTATGAAAAATGCTTAAGCTAGAAAAATATATATGAAAGCCATACCATACCACTGTATACCTATAGTATTTGTCATATAGGCAAACAGTGGAACACCATTCAGAAATCTCCAGCCTCTACTTACAGTCTCTGGCAAGTACTGACTGCTTGTGGTTTGCCACACAGAAGGTACCCCAAAGATGGAGCCTTTCGTGCACAATGCTTCTGAGATTCACCCATCTTCCATGTATCTGATTTCCCCCGCTGCTCAGCAAAAATGTATTGTACAGTTATATCACAGGGATTTCTATGTAATCATGGGTGAAGAGTATTATTTGAGTTCTGGTTTCTGGTGACCATAAATAAAGTTTCCCCAGCTTTCCTACACGGGTCCTTAAGAGACATCTTCCTTTCGTTTTGGCAAATACCTATGCATGAGATACCAGACTATGCGGTAAACACAGATTTGAACTTGTGAGCTGCCAGATTGTTTCCTAACGTGGCCCAACTCTTTCTGCACTGTTATAAACAACGCATGAGTGCTATGACGTCTTGGCTCATTCACTTCTTAGAACCTATAAGGTGTCAGTCCATAAACTGCCTAATCCTTTCCTCATGTCTGAAGTTTCACCCAATCACAGGGAGGCAAGCCTTCCTCCACAGCGTCAGGGCAGGAAGACTAGAGCACTGCCACGGCTGCTTCTGGTCCACACCTTTGATTCTGGTTTCTCAGCTTCTTTTAGTTTCTCCTCTAAGCCTTTTCTTCTGGCCAACAATTCTGTGAGTTAGCAATATCACTTAAAACTTCCTAACACAGCCAGGATTGTTCTCTGTGGTTGTATTTAAAATGAAGTAAAATAAAAGCCCTGGCCCCTCTAAGAAGTCAGCCCCTTTCTGCCATTATTCTTGACTCCCAGAGACACTGGTTTGATACTCCATCTTCCCTGCTCTGCTTCTAGGTGATGAACTAAAATTAGTTCATTGGTTTCCATCCTCTACATTAGGGAAATAATCACTATATGAAAAGGCGCAAGTCATTATAAATCAGTCCCCAAAGCTTGGGATAGATATCTCCCTTTAACAGACGGGTTCCTTAATACAGCTGTACTCCAAAGCACTCCAGTGAATGAAAAAGCACCATCCAATGTATTCATCTACCAGAGAGGATGGACCTCAAATCATAGAGCTTTTGTGTATCCTCACACCCAGCATGGCCACCAGGTTTCAGTGGTTAATAAATACTCCTGAATGTTCGGAGCAAATGTTTTACAAATTTAAAGCTATAAAAAGGAACTGGTTTTGTTCTGCACTTAAATAAGAATGATTTGTACAGCTGAAATTTGGATTAAAATATAAATGATATAAAATTATAAAATATGTAAATTATATAAAAATACAAATTAGCAAGTAATTTGGGTTAAGTGTCATGACTGAAAAGACTTACATTACTTGGTTTAAACTTCTATGCTGTAAAAACTAAACACATAAAACTAGAAACTTCCTAAACAAAAAAATGACACAAGTAAGTACTTAGATTATCTAATGTCCTCTTTTTTTCTTTTTTTTTCTAAATGTACTTCAGCGGAAAGGTAAAACTAGAATATGAGATTATTTTTAGATAGCCATAAAATGCATTAGATTCACCTAACAGACCCGGTTAAAATCTAGTTTATGCTGTAGGTGACAGTAGAGAAAGAGACGCCCACAAAACAATCCTTGTGCCGTCGGCTTCACATCATTACCTATTTCCACTTGCAGTTCGTAGTGAGAAGCATTGGTGGAGAGAATCACTTCACTGGCTCTGGCAGATGGAGGCGACCAGGAAGTTGCTGGCTCATCGACCTGCAGGATAAACATCATGAGTCTCCCAGTTTGGTCTCCCTATCCCAGTAGGAAATATTGACAGTCATCAGGAAGGTAGCCGGAGAGGCTGTTTTAAGATCTAGGGAGAATTTACCACTCGCTAACTGATGTCAAAGAGATTTCAGACTGAATAGGGAGAGGCAGGAAAAGCAGATTTATAAACAGCAAGGGAAACTTCCCACCTCAGTTTCCTGCAAAACTTCTAGATGGGCCCAAGAATGGATGACAGTTGTAAAACAGAAGGGAGGATTTGCAAGGATAGGAGAGGGACAGCCCAGGCTTGCCTTCCTGCCTTCAGTCTGAGGTTTATGCTCTGTGCCAACAGTCAAGAACAACTTCCACACCACCACCGTCTGATGGTAGAGGAAGTCCTTCATATGATGAAACGAAGGAAGAGCAAGGTCAAAAGGAAAAAGAAGCCCAAGGAGATGGGAGCTCAGGCTACAGGCCTCCTGACGGAAGGTGCCGGCAGCAATGAGGTCTCATGGGGTGCTTTGGAGTCAGAGTCAAGTTTGCATCTAAATATAGGGTCAGTGAAATATCACACACAGAGCAGATAGAGGAGGCCTAACCCGCTGGTATAATATGATAGCGACGAGGATCCCTTAAAGGACACCAGGACTCCAAAGGACACTTGGAAGCCTTCACAGGAACTAGCAAGTGGCAGGAATCTTGTTACGGCCCCCAGAGAGGCAAGGAGGGGAAACGGCAGGACTATGTGTTAGGAATCGTGCTAACTCCTAAACGTCAAGAAAGGTGGATGGTATCCAGGAAGAATCACAGTGGAAGAGAAATTCTAACACACAAGTGAAAATAAGACCAGTGTGAGGGTGGGGTGCCACCACAGAACAGGAAGCACTTGGATAAACAGGCATGAAGAGAACACACAAGAAAGGGAAGACTGTGTAACAGTGCCTTACAACTTGAATTGCTACCAATCCGTAAGTCTGTTATGTTAGGAAGGCTGGAAATGCAAGCACCAAGGTTTATTTTCACGTCTCAGTGGTTAAGAGCATCATCTGCTCTTCTAGAGGACCCGAGTTCGATTCCCAGCACACACACACACACACACACACACACACACACACACACACACGGCAGCTCACTCCTGTTCGTAACTCCAGTTCCAGGGGATCCAATGCTCTCTTCTATCCTCTGCGGGCACTTCACGAATGCTGTACACAGACATACATGCAGACAAAACACCCACACACATAAAATAGTTTTTTTAAAAGAAAAATGTTATGTTACTACATGATGGGCTGAAATCAGCTAACCAGCCTGCCTCTAATTTCCTCCATCTATTGCATAAGTGAAACAGTCTTCTTAAAGCAAGACAGAGTAGAGATGTTACAAGCAAGCATTCAAACGCTGGGGTTGTTTTTGAGACAGGGTCTAGCGCTGTGGCCCAAACTGACCATGAACTTCGACTCCTCCCACACCAACCTCCGTTCAGTGTGAGTACGTACTGAACCACCAAGCACTCAACCAAGAGCAGCTGCACTTACGTCCCTCATCCGGTTTTCTTTCTCTTACTTTGCTTTTCCTTCCTTCCTTTTCTCCCCAGGAAAGGCCTCACTCCCTAGCCTAGGCTGGCCTTGAACCCGCGGCAATCCTCGCCTCATCTTTCAAGTGTTAGGACAGACATGAGCCACCATACCTGGCAACAGACCCAACTTTCAAAAAGTAGAACACCACTAAGTAGCAAGTTTGATGCATTTGTCCAGAAGAAGCTGAGGTCACGTTAAAAGTTGGAATCCTAGAGAAAAAGTCGTGGCAGTCACAAGAAAACAACATGGTTCGCAGAGACTGAACCATCTCAAACTAACCTCACTTCTCTTAGTGATGCGATGACCAGAGAACCGAGAGGGCAAAGCCGGGCAGGTTCCCTGTCCTAGTTCACCTGCTTCTGTGATAAAATACGAAAGCAAACTGGGGAAGAGAGGGTTTTCTTTAGCTTACAGCTCCAAAGGGAGAGTCCGCCGTGGCAGCAAAAACAGGGCCGCAGAAGCAAGACCCCGGCTCATCATACTGCATGAGAGGTCAGGAAGCAGAGGGGGGAATAGGCCGTGAGATCAGGCTGTAAAACCTCAAGGTTCACTCCCAGTGATGTATTTCATCCTTGGGGCTCTACCTCCTAAAGGTCGCGACCAGTACCGCTAATTGAGGACCAAGTGTTCAAACACGTGAGTCTACCAGGGTATTTCATACGCAAGCCACAACCATCTTTACCCCAGAAGGCTCTTCAATGACTTCCTGAAGATGCAAAAGGCCTAATTTAAGAAGAAAAAATCTGGGGCTGGAGAGATGGCTCAGAGGTTAAGAGCACTGATTGCTCTCCCAGAGGTCCAGAGTTCAATTCCCAGCAACCACACGGTGGCTCACAACCACCTGTAATGAGATCTGGTGCCCTCTTCTGGCCTGCAGGCATACATGGAGGCCGAACACTGTGCATATAATAAATAAATAAATGTTTGGAAAAAAAAAGAAAAATCTGAGCTGGGTTGTGGTGGTGGTGCATGCCTTTAATCCTACCACTCGGGAGGCAGAGGCAGGCAGATCTCTGTGAGTTCGAGGCCAGCCTGGTCTACAGAGTGAGTTTCAGAACAGCCAGGGCTACACACAGAAACCCTGTCTTGAAAAACCAAAACAAACAACAAAAAAAAAAAAAAAAAAGGAAGAAAAATCCGGTCAATCTCTCGAAAAAACTTGACAGAAAACGGGAGAGCCAAAGTTACATTGTAAGCCTAAGAGCGCCAAGAAACAAAAATGCCTCTGACCCGCAAGCCTCTTGCTCACAGGAGATCGTTCCTGAGATTCTGGAGGCTTTTGGTCGGGAAGATAACAAGCCACATGTTTTCACTTCCCTGAACAAGTCTGTCTGACCCATCTGTACTGCCATGCTTGATCACATGTGGGCAGGGGGTTCACAGGCAGGAAACATGTCAGGATGTATGCTTGCCCCTGATTGGATATAGGCTGGAGGTACATCAGGATGTACGCTTGCCCCTGATTAGATCTGATGGAAAATACTTAAGCCGCTACAAACCTTGATTCAAGGTAATTTCCCAGGAAACTGGGTATGGACTTGGCCAGAGCCCGTCCACCTAACCAGTATTTAATTAAAGCTTGCTTCAAATCTGGCTTTAAACTGTGGTAGTCATCTTATTCTCAACAGGTGGAATTAACAGAAACTACACTGGTTTGGTTTTTAAATCATGTAGCAAGGTCTGTTCTTTATCTCAGAGTCAAAAACTGGATTTAGTCAGCAAACCTAGGGTTTATTATTAGCCACACTGTTTAGACGAACGTATCTTTAGTATCATTAGGCTTAAGGGAAGTGTCATGGATAACAAAGTCATAATTAGAAGTTTTATAGTTTATAATGGGAGACAAATGTCAGATGTCAAAGTGCTTGGATTTGTATGTTTTCAATCTAATATTTTATCCGGGCTGACGAAAAGTGACAAGCCACCAACAGGAAACATTTGATAGTGTCCTTCAGCCGAGACTCGGGGAGGGCCCAGGACGCCTTTCCCAGTCCCTAGTTCTCAGCAGGGCTCATTTTACATTGTAGAACCTCTCCACTTTGTCTTTCTACACAAGACTTCAAATTACACCTCCGTTTCCCTTACTGAAGGCTTTTGTCTAACTTAGAACACAAAAGGGCTCCAACCCAGAGGTCTGAAGGATACCAGCATGGAAATTTCCAGTTCCGGGCCTCATAACGGCATAGAGAGAAGTCGCTCACGGGACAAAGCTCCCTCCGTCTGAAGGGTAGGGAGGGCTGGAAACCACCCTCCTACTACACACAGGGCAGAGACCCTGAGGACAGGATGGTGACTAAAAATGACCACAGTTAGCGTCGGTCCTGAGAAAAATTATAAGCAAAAATAACTGCAATTACCTCATGTTGTAACAAACTTTTCACAGCAGGTTTCACTGTATAGCAAAAACTGTTACATAAATTAAGGAGTAAGCAGAGTAAGGATTTAAGACACATATTACCAGTGTGTCCCTTTAAATATTACTTAATATGCCAACTGCTGCTTCAGAGAGACAAAGATGGGTAAGACAGGATGCCCCTTACATGGGGGTCACATTATGGTTGAAGAGATGCAGACCTCGGTCCCTGTAAGGCCACACAGTAATATAACTACTCTATGAAATAAAAAGAATCTAAGGGAGAAGAAAGAGTTTACAGATACACAATCTGAACCAACTCTTGATGGACGAGATGAAATTTTAGGGGAAGGCAGGAACCACGGTATTTCAAGCAGAGGGAATATACCCAGGAGGAAACTCAAACACTGGTCCTATACCATACGATCGAGAGTTTCTATATCATGCTAAGGTGGCATGAACAGACGTGTTGGGCCAGTACTGAGGGCTGGCGTGAGTACTGTGGGAGAGGCTGCCTGTGTGCACGGACCACAGGTAGTGACTCTCTACCCAAGAGGCCAGGTGGACAGGAGTGAGTAGCTGTGCTCCTGCTCTTGAGGGGCGGGTGCAGCAAGCGTGAAGAGGACACCAAAGTTCCTAGTACGCATGACTAAGAGTCAAGCTTTCATTAACCAAAGCGAGACACACAGACAGGACTGGGAGATTTGGACGCAGATTAAAGTTTCACTCAAATCAGTAGAAACCCTGCGGGGTGTGGGGGCAGGGGAATCTATCTGGATGTATTCTGTATTATCTACTATCCCTGGGCACGGGAAAGAGACAGACTGGCGATCACCGCGGTCCTCTCAGAATACCCGAGACAACTCTAAGACCTCGCGAAACGGCCGGCGGCCACAGAAACCCCAGGAATAGATGACCCTGCCCCGAGAGAGCGGGTTAAGAGGTCAGTTACAGACTCCGGGAGGCCAGCACGGAGAAGAGGAAAGGTGAAAAGCAGAGCTGTCAGGATGAGGAGCATCGCAAAAGGCACAGGAGGGACGTAGCTCTGCTCCGCCGCGTGCTTACCAAGTATTGATGGACACTGGTTTCAGACTGTTTTTCAGGTCTGAGAGATTCGACTCGAGTTCGTGAAGCACAGAAACAATCCTGGAAGGCAGAGAGGCAGGCATTAGTTGAGCAAAAAGCAAGACACGCACATGGCACTGGCTCGCATATACAAAAAAGACCTGGTATCAGGGCTGGAAGCCCACGTGAAGATGGTAATGGGAGGGGGCAGAGAGTAGCCGGGTGCACAGAAGGTGGGCATCACTCCCTGACACTGGTACTTATGCCATCTCCGCTCCTTGCCTTCGCTTGAGGTTATGTTCTATTTTAACTGCTCGTCTTAACTTTCCTGATTATCTGGCTGAAGATTATCAGCTGAATATTTAGCTAAAAATTACTCTGCTGTAGTCAATATTCTTATTTTTTTCCTCAGATTATTTTCTTGAAAGTAGGAACCATGTTCCTACATTAAACCATTTATTTAATTATAAACACATTGAATATATTTGTAACCAACTCTGTTTCTTAAGGTGGCAAAAGTGTTCAACTCAAAGCAAATTAAGAGACCTTCTTCTAGTACCAAAATTTACATATTCCTGAAAACCAACACATGGTTCTACTATCAGCTATTACCTATAACGAAATATAATATTTACATGTTGTCTGTTCCATCAACAATTAGTGGAATGATACTAACCTATTTAGGAAGGAAAAAGCCCAAAGGAAAGTATAAGCACATTATATGAGACTTTCATAATAAGTGATATCAAGCACCTCATCAACCCTCACATGTATGAGCATTCAAAGACAGCATCAAGTGAGTTTCAGAGTCCACCCCCTTCTGCTAACACCGGACTGTCAGTTCCTTCAAAGAAATCAAATTCCATTGTTTTTTGGAATATACCAAAAGTTCTCAACAATCAAACTAGTATTTTTCAGCTAGGCCAATCTACTAATTATTTTACATTGAATTTAGTGCTCCGGATTTCAGAGTCTTCATCATTCAGATAACGGAACTGATGAAAAGGGCATCACCTATCTTTTCTCACTTGCAAAATGATGTAAAACTATAAATCCTAAAATCCCTTCAGCACAGGGGTCAATGAAGGATAGCCGGTACGTGTTCAGGGTTTTGTTGGTTTTAGTTTTCTGCTTTTGCACTGCCCATGGCTGCTTTGGAGCAGCCAGAGCAGAAGAGCCATAGCCTGGTAACGACTCCTGGCCTGTTACAAAGTATCTGCTGACCCTGCTTTAAAGAAGGAAGCATGTATTTTCCAAATACACACATTTAAAGCAAATGTATCTTTTCTACACAAAGTAACTACGGTCTCCTGACTTCCTATCTCGCAGCCGGGTTAGAAGGATAGGACCGCAGGCGTGAGTCTGAACACTTGCTCTAATCTTTGGCAATCACCAGCAAGCGCAAATAAGGAAGCTGCTGCCCGTCCTGCTAAGCCCCCACAATTTTAAAGAGCAGGATCACTGTCTTAATATCAAACCCTTTTTCAAATACTATATTGTATATGACAGAAGGTCCCCAAGCTACTTAATCTAAAACAGATGTCATGTATCTAATATACAAATAAATAAATTCCATCTGTAGTTTACATGTTGCAACGATTCAATTATTTTTTTTATCTGATTAAGTCAAAGGTTTATTTTTAAATGCTATCTTATCTGTCTTAACCTGCCTTGGGACACATAGAAATTTATAAAAGGGATCCTTTGAAATTTTAAAAGATAATGCATAGTTTACAAGATAAGACTAGAATCTCAGCCGGGCGGTGGGGGGTGCACGCCTTTAATCCCAGCACTCGGGAGGCAGAGGCAGGTGGATCTCTATGAGTTCGAGGCCAGCCAGGTCTACAAGAGCTAGTTCCAGGACAGGCACCAAAGCTACAGAGAAACCTTGTCTCGAAAAAACAAAAAAACAAAAAAACAAAAAAACTAGACTCTAAGAAAAATAAATGAGGAAAAGTTCAGTTTGGGACAAAGAATTGTAATAATGAGTATATTTATAAAGAAAGTGTAGGAGAAACTCTTTTTGAAAAAGGCAAAACTCATTGAGAGCTTACGTCATCCTCAAAGCCACACACCATTCAGGTCAAAACATCCCAGAGCTTAAACCTGAACGACTGTCCTTTGGTCACCATCTAACTACTCCGGTGGTATAACATTATAACAGAACTTACCAAAAGAGACATTGAATCGCTTTAGTTCACAGAAAGTGACAAAATTCCATCTATTTCCAAGAAGAGTTCTGCTTTATCTTCAAGGTGCCGATAGATCCTACTGTAAAAACAAAAGCACAATTGTTGAGATCTACAAACACTTCTTGAAAAACTAGATGATGTAACTTATCAGCTAGTGACATCCTCGAGCTGTCTTCAGTAAGCATTGTTCCAACGTGGCTCCCAAAAGGCAGAAAGCTAAAGAGAACTTCTTACTCTCTCCAAAGCCTGAAGATACTGCATCTCTCCTATCCTTTTCTGCCCTGTATAAATAGAAATGCAATATAGAGAAGCCATTTTGGGCCCTCCTTATATAAGTGGTACCACTTACAAACAAATCCTCAGGATCTTTAATGATTCCATTTACACGTAAACTTTGAAAATCTCCAAAGAATGCTGACCAATCAACTGCCTACTACCTCATTTGGGGCCTAAAAGTCACAAATCCAAAGCAGGACTCTTACTGGGCTTAAAATGAATTAGCTCTTGCTGCTACATGTTCAAAAAGAGACTTCTTAGTTTTCACGTAAAAAACGACGTTTTTATAGGTTGACTCTTTTTACCTTGATTTTTAGTTCTCAACTGCGTTCAACTTAGAATGTGTTGACAGAGAGAAATTATGTATATCATTATACAAACAACTCCTGTCCATTTTTAATAAGAGTTGAGATTTTAGCATGGTAACGTCTTCAGATTCAAGGAGCTACAAGATCACCACCACGGTCTTCTGGGTCTTCTCCGATAGCGAGGGCAGTATGTGTAGATGTGTCATGGTTGTTCCTTCCTAAACATCATCTCTTGAAACTGGGTTTCATTACCTCATTTTAGTCAAATACCATATTTGATCAAGGTATCTACAAATAGCTAAGAAGAACGAGAAAAGGAAGGTTTATAGACCATAGAGTTATGAAATAGTATTCGATTTTACTGCTGAGGGAAAAAGTGGATTTTCACAGGGTATCCACTATAAGCCAAAGGTAGAGAAAGGGGAAGAAGGAGGAGAAAATTTAAGATTTTTTTTTTTGCCGCCAGTCAAGCATTATTGTCAATTTATGACGGGTGGGGGGGGTGAAGGAAACAATTTCTGCATAGTCTACCCTACAGGATGACTGAAATCAATAAATGTATACATTGTTTTTCATTTATTTGTGTGTGTGCATTTTGTTGCTGTTGTTTTTTTTTATATATTTTTTATTTTTGAGACAGGGTTTCTCTGTAGCTTTGGAGCCTGTGCTATAGACCAGGCTGGTCTTGAACTCACTCTGTGTGCATCAAAGAAAGACAAGCATAGGCCAGGCGAGGATGGTGCACGCCTTTAATCCTAGCACTCAGGAGGCAGTGGCAGGCGGATCTCTGAACTGGAGGCCAGTCTGATCTACAGAGCTAGTTCCAGGACAATCAAAGCTACTCGGAGAAACCCTGTAGCAAAAAACCAAAAAAACAACAAAACAAAACAAAACAAAAACAAATTAACAAAAAACAAGTGCAACAAGTTAAGACAAAATATCTGAATAACTGTGAAAATGTTTTACTTGTGAGCCAGTAAAAGCTCACTTTTATTAATCTATTCTAAGAAGATATCGAAATAATGAAAGAAACCACACACGGGAAGTTTGTATTCACGCTACAGGCTTAGGCACTGTGGGCCAGACAACGCTGAGCACTGAAGACCCCACTAGGAATCCACACAGTGCCCTGCCCTCTAGCTGCTGGCTTTACCAGAGGCAGAAAGACGCTGTGCTTAACTTCATTTTGCGGTTACCAATTCTGCCCCTCCTTTTCACTCAGGATCAGCAAGGTGTTACAGAGTTGACTGCTTTAAACAACAAAACACTGAGGGGGAGTGGGGATTCAGGTCACAATCTTCTAGAACTGTTGCTTCTGTGGGGTGGTTTAATCTCAGACGTTTTCGCCTTGGATAGACCACACTACTAACAGTTAATTTTACAAGACATTTTGAGGTCGAGACAGTGGTTGTATCTGACAAAGGAACTGAACAAAAGATTTGCTGTCAGCTTTCACTATTACACTATGATTTTTAAATGCTAAAAACAAAAAAGAAAGAAAATTTAAAAGGGAGGTGACTTGCTGAGGCTTAAGTGAACATGCTTTTAATTCCAGCATGCAAGAGGCAGAGACACAAGCAGGCAGATCCTTGTGAGTTCTAGGCCAGCCAGGGCTACCTACATAGTGCGATCCTGTCTTTAATATATATATGAGTGTGTATGTGTATGTATACATATTTAAGAAGCCTGTATTCCTAAATGCAGTTGTACCCAAAAAGCTATTACAACAAAGCTTTATAAATAATCTAATTAGTTTCATAACATAGACGTGCATATCAATAGCCTTTCATTTGAAATGTTAACACTTGTAAGGACCCCAAAGGGCCTAGGTATTTACAGGACTTGGGTTTTGAGTTAATCTAGGCATTCAGTGGTCTACTGTTTCAGGAAATGCTAACAACAACAACAACAACAAAATAACCCTGCCAATTCTCTTTGTGAAGCTTCAAAATTATGGTCATTTTCAAGGTGATCTTGAAATTTCATAAAACCTTAACAAAGATTATAGCGATGCACACAGCTCAGTAGAATTTTCCAAACTTAGTATCATGACTCAGGGTTTCAACAAATATTTACGGAGTGCCAAACACCGTGCTGTGTAGGTACTGTCACAAATCGTGATCAAGTTTGGAGGAAAGATAGTCGACACAAACAAACCCATGACGGGGAAACACAACACCACATGTAAATACTGAAGACAAAAACGACGCCTGGGCATTTAATTTTAGAAAAGGTCCCTTCGAAGTCTCCGAGCAGACGGGGCTGGGGCCTGAGGGTGTCTTCGGCTTGGGAAATCGCCAGGCCTGCGTGCACCACCAAAGGTGAGAATCAGGGGAGCGGGATCGCGGCGGCTGGGCTCCTGCACCCTGTACCGCCGCTGGACACCGGGAAGCGCGGCCCCGGTGCGCTGTGACTCCGGCCACTGCTCGCCCAGCTCGGGCCTCGCAGGTTTCTGCTGTGCACCTACCGAGCTGTGCACCCTGTCCTATCCCCCACCCCCGGGGATCCCTGCACCGTTCCCCGCCCGCCTGCCTCCCCTCATTACCCAGGCTGCGACCAAGGCCAGCGGCTCCAGGCGGCGGGCGCTGAGGGGCTGCGACGCGTGCAAACCCCGGGACCTGCCTCGAAGACGGACGAGGCAAGAACGTTAGGCCCGCTTCCAGCGCGGGCCTCAGGGCGCAGAAGTGCAGCACGATCGCGACAAGGCCGGGTTGACTTGGACCTCTGTCCCAGCCCGGGGCAACCGGCCGGGATGGGATCCGCCCCACCCCGACGGGGTCGGGGCCCGCCGCTCCGCCCCGCCGCGCCTCCACCTTCCAGTTCGGTGGGGAGGCGGAGCCTCCGCACTGTAGGCGGGACTGAAAGGAAACTACAGTTCCCAGCGGGCCGTGCGCCTAAGCCGCGAAGGCTGCTGGGAAAGTGGGTCCCCGAGCTTCCCTAGCTGGGTGGGGGCTGCCATCGACCGGGCGTCGCTGCAGATCCAAGGTCGCCGAGTGATGAGGTGAAGCCGCCCTCCAGTCCCCTGCCACGCCCGGACTGGTAGCTGCGGCGGCGGCGGCGGCTTCTGGTGCTGCTCTCTGGCTGCGGCAGCATTAGGGGCTTCTTCCTCGTAAGCGAGGGCAGTCGGAGGAGCGAGGACGTCGGGCCATTGCCGTGAGTAACCTCCCGCGCGCGATTCGGACCTGCCCTTGTCAACTTCTCCCTTTCTGCCCTGGGTTCCTCCGGTCCCCCGGAGGTCACTCGTGGGAGTTCCACGTCCCGAGATCGGAAAGGGATGTTTCCCAAGGTTCGGTGCAAAGTGATGGGCGCTGGGTTCTAGCCTCTGGTTTCTCCCCCATCAGCACCTCTGAAGATGGGCAGCTTCCCATCCTCTGCCAGACAGCTCCCATCTGGAGCTCTGCCGTTTTAGGATGAGAGGCTTTAGTGTCTGGACGATAAACCTTAAGCTCTCGGTGGCCATCTGTGGTGTAAACGGGAGGAGAGAACACTGGAAAGAGCTTTCAGTGTTGGGCTTTGCTTTGCAGTTGATGTGGAGCCAAACGTCACATGTCTTTTAAAAGGAAAAAAAGAAAAGGTAGACTTAAGTCGAAGCGATAAGAATGGCAGGTGTCCTTATCATTGCCAAAACTTTTGCGTCTCACTTTAAAAAAAAAAATCAGAATTACGGTAGTGGAATCAGTTACCTGCTTTTTCACATTTTTCTGTATCAGGAAAGAAGGTAAATTTTCTTTGGAAATTCACCTAGCTTACATGGACCACGGAACAAAATGAACTGGACTCAGAGTTCTTGCTCTCCCTCAGTAAAAAATTTTGTGACCTTCAACCCTTTGCTGTTCTTTCGAAAGTCTGAGCTACAGTGCTCTCCAAATAGCCTATTAGTGATGGTGGCCTCACGCTGGGAAACAAATTCTGAAGGACGCTTGGTGGTAGGAAGGGCAAAATTCAAAGCACTTTATCATCCCAGCAACCATCCAGCTTTCTATTTTTAAAATTAAGTAGTATCCAACAAGTCTCAGACATTTAACCCTCCCGTAACATAGCTTTGTGCAAGACGGTGTTTTAAGTCTTATGTGTTCTTATTTGTGCGATGGGACAACCAGCATCTGAATACTTGAAATCCGCGAGACCCCATTTCAGTGTTGTATCTTGCGTGGTTCACATAACCACTTAAGCCAATAATGTGAAGCCCAGAACACTTTACGTAACAAGTGAAGATTTAAATCTTGACTTGATCTGCTTCAAAGTTATGAATCAGGTATCTTTTATACTGGTGGTTGGAAAGAATTTTTCATATTGTCTCCTAGTACGAGCTTCATCACACCTTGGACAGGGATAAACCCCTAACCTTTACTTTAGCTCTCTGAACAAATTGTGCACTCTGTCAGCTCATTTCGCCCCTCGAAGAACCGCTCATTAACACACGAAGAGCTCATTCCAAATCCTGCTGGATGTACTTATGTAAAGAAAAAAAAAATGATAGGATCGGACACGTACCACAAAGGTCTTTTCCAGTGGTTGGGTTTTATGGCTCACAATGAATGCTTAACATCCATAGTCTCAGAGACTAGGAAAATTTGCCTTTTTTTTGTTGTTGTTGTTGTTTCCCTGCCCCAAATAAGTTAAAGTCAACATCCATCTGGTTCCCTTTTTTTGCTTTGAGTTTGTTGTGGTTGTTTTGCTTTATTTTTCCGTTTGTTTCTTTCTTTATTTGAGACAGTGGTTCACTCTGTAGCCCCAGCTGACCTGGAACTCACAGAGATCAGCCTGCCTCTGCCTCTTTGAGTGCTGAGATTAAAGTTGTGCGCTTCCGTGCCCATCTAGTTTTTAAAATGGCGTTTGTTTGTTTGTGTGTTGCTGTGACCGTGTGCCTGGGAGCCTTCACGCATGTAGAGGTCAGAGGACAACGTGTAGGGATTCGGTTTTCTCTTTCTACCATGTGGGTCCTGGGGATCAAACTTAGGTTGTTAGTGACATGCACCTTTATCTCTCAGCCACCTTGCTGTCTCTGGACCAGTGTTTGAACCTCATTACGTTACTATATTTAGCTGGAAAGAAACCTGAGACCTTGAAGCGATAGCCGCATTGAACGTCCGTCATATCTGTTCAGACCTGCAGTGTTCTTACGACAGCAATAATAGGAAGCATAAAATAATGCACTTGCTGTACACCCCCACTGAATCCTTTACCTAGTCCCTGCCACAATCGCACCATCGGGGTTTTTGCTCTTAACAGATAGGCAGCTAAAGCCGAAGAATGTCAAATAAACCCAAAGCCATTTAATTACTGATTGGCAGAAGTGGCTGTCACACCAGCCATGGTCACACCTTTGCTTCAACATCTGAGCTCTTAATTGTGAAACAAAAACGTGGCTGAGGGGTCTTATTTTAACTCCAGGGTCGTTGTTACGACTACTTCATTTAGAATGGAGAGTCAACCTTAACACTTTCCTATCTTCGTGGGGAAACAATAGAGTCAGGATTTGAACCAATATATATATATATATCTTTTACTTCTAGGTCCATGTTCTTCTCTTTACTTCTCATCAAGTCTTTATTAAATATTTTCTGTATCACTGTACTGGTTATAAAGATATAATCTTCACCGTTATATCCTTATGTATATGGAGAAGAGAGGGGGAGTTATGTTAGTGTCTTGAGCAATGTGACAGCAGTATCCAGAGACTGATACGCTGCATCAGCCAGGAGGGAAAGGTTTGGGCCAGTCTTGGAAAAACAGACGGGCGTTAGCTTGGGCAGAGAAAAGGGGTAGCCAGTGTAATGGTCTCAACTATGTCCTCTCAGGATTCTTATCTGGTAGCTCTTACGTAACCCTCGTTGCCCCAGAATGTATGTATATTTGCTTAGGGCTTCTGAAGTGATTAAGTTGAAATGAGACCATAAAAGGGAATTCTATGCAATCTGACATACCTGTCATATCTGCTTACAAGAGAAAACAAAAAAGAACTGGACACAAAAAGATACACTTGCATAGGAAGGCGCGTATAACATTATCAAGGCCAAGAAGAGAGGCCTCGGGAGAAACCAAACCCTCCAGTACCTGAATTTTGGACTCCCGGCTCCCCGAACTAAGAGAAGATAAATTTGTTAGTTAACCTGCGCAGTCCGTGGTATTTTGTCCTTGCAGCCCCAGCAAATAACAAGTAGGTGTTGCAGGCAAAGGGCATGGCATACACAAAGCCTCCGAGATGTGACTGGCTGGGTCGGGTGGGTTTCACGGTGAGTTTTGAGAGATGCAGCTGGGGACCTGGTTGGGAGAATTAGGACGACTTTAGATGAGATCCAAAGATGATTAAACCGGAGAGATAAAATGCAGGGTTTGGTAGCACTGGGAAAACGTTACGCTTGCTTCTTAGAAAGACATTGGCAAATGGGAAGAAAGCTGAGGCAGGGAGACCAGTTCAGGTGGCTATTTACCGTAAGAACTTAAATTCTCAAAAACTAAGACTGTAAAAGTCACAGCTGGATGCAGGAGAGGTTCCCTGGGTAAAGGCCCTGTTACCTGAGTTTGATTCCTGGGACCCAGACGATGGAATGGGAGAACTGACTTCCATGGATCGTTCTCTGACATCCAAATATGCACCATGGCATGGACAAGCACATACATGCACCAAATAAGTAAATGCAGCAACATTGTGTCTTAAAAGGTCACAGCCAACTGTTAGGCCACATATAGGATGATTTAGGAAGAATTTGCATGTATCCATTTTTCTGAAACTTTAGTTTTATGTTTGATTGTTTTTAAAACTTCGCCTTCGTAGTGAAGCTTTTCACAACTATCACAAAATATTCAGGAGTTTGCTACCCCGAGAAGTGATTTTTGTTTTTTTAGGTATCCAGTGGGATAAAATAGTATCAATACTCTTGTAAGCGCCATTTTCTGACTGTCTATGAAATGTATACTGTTCTTCTTCATGTATGCATAAATACACAGAAACATAGGTTAAGTAGTTTATTGAAGGATATGAACGGCCAAGTTAAGATACAGAATCAACTCTTCTGTCTTCGTTATCTGGGTTCCTAACTTTACACTGTGCTGTTGCCATATACTACTTAATCAAGATCTTCAGCCACGTGTGCCAAGAAGCAGGGAGGAGTCGAAATGAGTGTGTTTGCTGTAAGGAATGGACAGGCTGAGAAGTAACTATAAGAAAAGCCTTTGGGATATTTATTTTAAAAAGAAGCAAAGCTATTGACAGCAGGTGGTGAGGGCTTTGTGTCCAGGCTCCTGGGAAGACGGGTGGAGAAAGGCATCTGAGCCGTGTTGGAATGTGGGTTTGTAGACCTGAGAGAGGGCATCAGGGTTCGAGGAAGTGATGTGGCCAATTATAGGATTGAGGATTTCCGGGTGTTTCCAGAAGGGCCAGTAAACGCCGCCCTTTGTATATTGTCTGGCTGGTGAAGGAAGTGGGAGCCAGCTTGTGGGAGGTGGTGGATTTTTTTTTTTTAAATGTGTGTGAACATTTTGCTCACGCACGTGTGTGGTGCCCTTGGAAGTTTGAAGGGGGCTTTGGATCCCTTGGGACTAGAGTGATAGACAGTTGTGGGCTGCCATGTGGGTATTGCATCCTCTGCGAGAACAGGAAGTTCTTCAGAGGCCATCCCTCCAGCCCCATTTTAAGCCTGAATGGATGGGCACATGCTGGGTGACATCGTCTTCCATAGCAGGAAGAAAACCCATCCAGCCCCGTCACCGGGTAACCTCTCTGTTTTCACCACCTCACAGGTCCCTGCTGTTCATCCCCCATCCTAGGCCTTTCTTAAATAATCTGTGTGTATGGGGTTATAATTTCCCACTTGTCTCTCTTTCTTTGGTCTTGCTTTTCCTGAAATTTATCCTGAATTCTGTCCCCAGCTTGGTTCCTCTCAAGCGCCGTTTCCTATGGGATCAAGGTCAGAATTCTCGACTTGGACTTAGTCAGTTTCAAATCTTCAGACACTTTGCTGACATGCTTTGGGGCCTCTGTTTTTTTTTCTCTTATTCTGTTGGGTTCAGTTTTTGTTGTTTGTTTGTTTACTTTGTCTTATAGCAATGGCTCTCCACCTGTGGGTCTTGACCCCTTTGGCAAATCTCTGTCTCCAGAAATATCTACATTACAATTTATAACAGTAGCAAAATTACAGTTATGAAGTAGC